TTTTACGACTTTTCTTCCCATAGTTGTTAAGTGAATCACCGTGGTCGATAAGCTAGTCAACTGGCTGTTAAGTGAATCTGGCTTCCCCCGTTGACTTTGGTGGTCAGAAAACGGTTGCAAAGGGGGACCCCAGGACTGTCATAAGTGTGAACCACTTGCCAAGCGCCTGGATTTTGATCGCCTGACCACGGGGATCCTGCAACGGTCGTAACTCTGGAAACCCACCCGGTCCCTTTCTCCAGTGCCGTCGTAACTTTGAACGGCCACTAAAGGGACTGTTGTAAGTCGAGGACCGCCCATATACAAGTCTACCCCCGATTCAGACGCCTCCTGCCCTCCCTCCTCTCGGGGGGGGGGGGCAGGAGAAAAGCCCCCCCCCAGGTATCCAAAGTGGGACGGGGGATTTACATTGATATCTGCCTGGTTGGGGGACTCCGCTTTCTGCAGGGTGATCTGGAGCCATTGGGTCTGTCCGGTGCTGGCGGCGTAATGCAAATCCCGGTTCTGTTTAGTGGCGGCATGTCTTGACGACTGAGGCTTGACGTTGCTACAACACAAGGCAGAGGGGCTGTTGGGTTTCCCCCTCCCCCAGCTCTCCCCTTCCTCTCTTTCGCTGGAGGATGGGGGAAGGGCTGAGATTCTGGCAGCCTGGGCGGGTGGGGGGGGCGCTCAGTCAGGAGGGGGCACCGTTCCCGATGACCCCTCCCCCTTTTGATACCCAGGCAGGAGTTGGCGGTGGGGGGGGGAGTTGCCTGAAAAGGCGCTTCCAGACCTCCCCCTCCCCCCCATCGCTTTCTTAAAGAACTTTTGACCAGAATGAAATCAAGCCCATTGTTCAAAAGGCAGGGGGTGGATTGGATGACCTCTGAGGTCCCTTCCAGCTCTTTTCGGGGTTGTGCAATCTGTGAAGCTCCAGCACCCCTCCCGCTTGGCTGTTTCCCTGGTGGGATCCTTTCCTGGGAGACTGGAGGCTTAAAGCCCCCCCCCCGACGAGCCGAGGAGATCTGCCCACCCCAGTGACCATCATCCCCAGACACAGGGAAAGGAGGGGGTTGTAGTCCAGGAGCGACTCCTTCCTTCCTCCCCTTGGAGATTCCCCCGGCAGGCGCTGTCCCGGTGCTGAAGGTAGCCTGCGCTGGCCACGGGAGGTTCTGGCGCTGGGGAAGCGGTGCGCGGGGAGGGGATGATGGGCGCTGCGGTCCCCCCTCCCGCCCCGCCCCTCCACTGGCCTGAAGGCGACGGCGGTGAGGGCGAGGGAGCTGGAGGGGCCCACGTGGCGCGATCCGCGGGTCCTGGGCCGGCGGCTGCCCGAGCGAGGCGGCTTCCGACCCACCATCGCGGCTAGTGCGGAGCGCGGTCAAGGCGTCGCCCGGCAACCGAGCCTGGCTCAACCCCCGGGACGGACGGAGTTCTCGCGCGGGAGGGGGGGTGAGAGGAGGAGGAGGAAGGAGGGAAGGGAGACAGAGGAGGAGGGGGAGGAAAAGGAAGGAGGAGGAGGAGGGACGAGGACGGAGAGGAAATAGGAGGAGGAAGACGGGAAAGGGAAGAAGGGAAAAGGGAGAAAGAGGAAGACGGATGGGAGGGGGAGGAAGAAGGGGAGGAAGAGGAAGAGGAGGAAGGAGAAGAAGAGGGAGAAGAAGAAAAAACGGGAAGGGGAAAGAGGAGGAGGAAAAGGAGGGAGGAGGAGGAGAAAGATGGGAAGGGGAAGAAGGAAAGGGAAGAGGAAGATGTGAGAGGGGGAGAAGGAAGAAGGAGGAGGAATGAGGAAGAGAGAAGGGGAGAAAGAGGAGGAAGGAGAAGAAGATAAGAAGAAAAGGGGGGAAGGGGGAAGAGGAGGAGGAAAAAGAGGGAAGAGGAGAAAGATGGGAAGGGGAAGAAGGAAAGGGAAGAGGAAGATGTGAGAGGGGGAGAAGGAAGAAGGAGGAAGAATGAGGAAGAGAGAAGGGGAGGAAGAGGAGGAAGGAGAAGAAGAGGAGAAGAAGAAAAAGGGGGAAGAGGAGGAGGAGAAAGAGGGAGGAGGAGAAAGATGGGAAGGGGAAGAAGGAAAGGGAAGAGGAAGATGTGAGGGGGGAAGGAAGAAGGAGGAGGAATGAGGAAGAGGGAAGGGGAGGAAGAGGAGGAAGGGGAAGAAGAGGGTGAAGAAGAAAAATGGGGAAGAGGAACGAGGAAGAAGAAGGACAAGGAGGAAGAGGGTAAGGGGAAGAAAGGAAAGGGGGGAAGAGGAAGGAGGAAGAGAGAAGAGGAAGGAGGAGGAGGAGGGGGACTTGTGAGCAGTCGAAGGCCAGAGCAGACGTCCCAATTTCTGTCCGTAAGGCAGGGAGCCCCCCTCTCCCCCCGGGATGTGAGGAGTTGGGTTCCAATCCCATTAAGTGAGCCTTGAACCTTCCCCCACCGGCAGCCTTTGGCGCTTTCGAAGTCCGGGTGAAGGGCGTTGAGTGCGAATTCTGATGAAACGACGGGAGCTGCCAAGGCCCCAGTTCTGCCCCTTGAACAGGTCGTCCTTGACGTACGACCAACATTGGCCCTGGACTTTCTGTTGCTAAGCAAGGCGGTTAAGTGAGATGCCTGATTTTAGGGCCATTTCCGCCATGGTGGCTGTCAATCATTCTAGTCCAGTGTTTCTCAACCTTGGCAACTTGAAGATGTCCGGACTTCAACTCCCAGAATTCCCCAGCCAGCGAATGCTGGCTGGGGAATTCTG